TGAAAAACCTTTTTCAATTAAAAAATTTGACAATCTTTCATACCAAGCTCTAGGAGCTTGTTTTAAACCATAGAGAGCTTTTGTCAATTTAAGAACATGGTCCGGAAATTTTGAATCTTCAAAACCTAGAGGTTGTTCCACATACACTTCTTCCTTTATAAAACCATTTAAAATGAACTTTTAACATCCATTTGATATAATTTAAATTCATGAAAACATGCAAATGCTAATAACATTCTAATTTCTTCCATCCTAGCTACGGGAGCGTATGTTTCATCATAGTCTATGCCCTCTTCTTGAGTATACCCTTGAGCAACAAGTCTAGCCTTGTTTCTCACTATATTACCACTCTCATCAAGCTTATTCTTAAATACCCATCTAGTACCTACAGTAGATTTATTACTAGGCCTTTCAACTAATGTCTATACTTTACTTCTCTCAAATTGATTTAGTTCATCTTGCATAGCCATAATCCAATGTTCATCTTTTAATGCTTCTTTGATGTTTTTAGGCTCTATGCATGAAATAAATGCAACATAATTACAAATATTTCTAAGAGAAGATCGAGTTGTTACCCTTTTGGATGGATTACCTATAATTTCACCATCCTTGACATAGTTGTACTCTCTTGGATAAGATACTTCCCTTTCTTCAATGGTTGGATTCTCAAGAGGATAATGAGTTTCCTTATTTTTCGTTTCTTCCTTTGATGATGGTTCTCCAACATCATGTCTAACGTCATTTGTATTTATAACACCTACATCATCATTCACACAAGAATCCTTCCTCGGAAGGGGATTATCATCGAAAACAACATGTATAGACTATTCTATAACTAAAGTTCTTTTATTAAATACTCGATAAGCTTTAGAATTTTAAGGAATAACCCAGAAAAATTCCTTCATCACTTTTAGCATCAAATTTGCCAAGGTTCTCTTTACCGTTGTTTAAAACAAAACATTTACATCCAAAAGGATAAAAATAACTAATGTTAGGCTTTTTATTTTTGAAAATTTCATATGGAGTTTTCTTTAAAATTGGCCTAATCATTACTCGATTTACAACATAACAAGATGTATTTGTGGCTTCCGCCCAAAAATATTTTGGCAAATTATTTTCACAAAGCATAGTTCTAGCCATTTCTTCTAAAGTTTGATTTTTCCTCTCAACAACTCCATTTTGTTGAGGGGTTCTAGGTGCTGAAAAATTATGGATAATACCATTAGAATTACAAAATTCAATAAATCCAAGATTTTCAAATTCAGTTCCATGATTACTTCTAACACTAGTGATAGAGTAACCTTTTTCATTTTGGATAATTTTTGAAAATGTGATGAAATGTTCTAATGCTTCATATTTTGTACTTAAGAATAGAACCTAAGTATATCTAGAATAGTCATCTACCAAGACAAATGCATATTGTTTTCCACCAAAGCTAGTAATTCTAGTTGGCCCAAAAAGATCTAAATGAATCAATTGTAAAACTCTACTAGTTGATACATCATTAATGGATTTAAAAGAAACTCGCTTTTGTTTTCCTTTAGCACAAGCATCACAGATTTTATCATTATCAAATTTAAGCTTAGGCAACCCTCGAACTAAATCACCTTGAATTAGCCGTTGCAAAACACTCATACTAGCATGTCCTAGTCTCCTATTCCATAACAAATCATCATGCTCATCCCTAGCAACTAGGCACAAAATAGCCATATTAATAAAATCTAAATGCATCATGTATATATATATATCTCTATTTTATGACCAACAAGCATAATCGAAAATAGATGCAATGTTAATCAATTTTACAATCATTTAAAATAAAACATTGTATCTTTTATCAAATTTATTTTTCAAAAGATTATGCTTTTAACCCATTCACATATAAAACATTATGCAATGTTGATTATAGAGATTAAGAGAACATGCATAAAGTTTTTGAAAATGTTATGCATTAAAACTTTATAATATTTAAACAAAAAAATCTATGCATAAACATAAAAAAAAATTTCAAGTCAAAATTTTGCAAAACCAAAGTTCTTGAAAAATCGATATCAATTGTTAAAGAGATATCAATTACTTTTTAAAAACAATTTTGACCAAAAATTAATATGATGAACTAGAGTTTATAAAACATTACCAAAAATTACCATGTTCATCATACAATATTTTTCAACATACATGAGATAAAACATAATTCAACATTTTAAAACCTCATGCATGCATAAACTAAATGAGCAACCAGATAATAAAAACATTAAGTTTAGAGGTTACCCATTCCCTTTTTATGTGTAGCTTAGAGCATCTTGAATATCATCATCTTTATCACAATTGCTCTCACACACCTACAAGAGACATTTAAGTAGATTTTGGTATCCAAATTGCTTTGGATCCTTGAACATTAGTTTCAATGTCTCTTGTTCCTTTTGGAACCCATACTTGTCTAATTTTAAATCATTTTCCTTTCTTTAAAGGACAAGTATGTTCCTTATGACCATGATAATGACAATGTGAACATATTGTCATTATTGAACTAGATGAATTATTTAGAATGATCTCTTTTTCTCTTGTTAAACATTCAAGCTTATCTTTCAAATTTAATTTTCTTTTTCAATACTTTCAAATTTCATTTTTGAGAGTTATAAATCCTTCTTCAAGATTTCATTTTGATTTTCAAAATCCATTTTCATTTCTAGAAAAAGTTTGTTTAATTTGAAAATTTCTTTTTCAAAGTTTTCAGATTTTATTTTTGAAAGCTCTAACTCCTTTCTCAACATTTCATTTTGATTTTCCAAGTCTGTTTTAGCTTTCAAATGTTTTAGCTTTCAAAAGAAGATCATTTTTAGCAATAAATTTAGAAATCAATTTATTGTATTTGGAGTTCATGGTCTCAAACTCCGAAAATAATTTATCATAAGCATCTTGTAACTCATTAAAAGATTTTGAATTTGATATATTTGAGTTAGAAGATACCTTTGGCTCTGTGAGAGCTAATAGAGACATCACTTTTATTGGTTCTTCTTCTTCCTTGTCTCTATAGATCTCCTCAAGCTTATCCCACATTTCCTTGGCACTTGAACAAGAAGAAACTCCTTTATATACATTAGGATCAATTGCACAACACAACATGTGCATAGCCTTTGAGTTTTGTTGAGCTTCCTTCCGTTCTTGAACACTCCACTTCTTTGCCTTCTTAGTAGGAGAGGAATATCCTTTCTTGATTATCATCCAAGCTTCCATATCAAATGTTTTGATGATTATCATCATACACCTCTTCCAATGATGATAATTTGTTCCATTGAAGTGTGGAGGCACGTCAATAGGTCTGGATTCTTCCATGGAGAATGCACCGGAAGTAGACACCATTTTTATCGATTTAACTCTTCCCGGATCGACTCAAGAGGTGATTAAACCTTCAAATGAGTGAGGCTCTGATACCAATTGTTGAGTTAATTGATTGACGGAATTGACCAAGAGGGTGGTGAATTGGCAATTAAAAATTTGGTGAAAGCTTTTGCAGAAAATTGAAAGTAATTGCACAGTGATTTAGAGTTGTTCGACTTTCTCAATCAAAGTCTACGTCCACTACCTTAGCTATCCACACTAAGGATTTTCCAACAAATTCACTATTTTGTTCTTTCTTTTGAGGCCAAAGAGATAACCTTACAACACCCTCAAGATAATACCCCAATTCTTAAGAACACTCTTTCCCAAAGAGAAGATTACAAATTTGCAAACTTACAAGGAAAACCTCACAAGGTAAGATGTTTGCACAATTCTAGAACAAGAAAAGAACACTCACAAATATTTACAAATGAGCACAAATGGTGTTCTTTGAAAGAAAAATGAATATTGAAAGGAAAATTGGCTTGATTTGCACAAACTTGGTATTTGATGCTTTCACTCTTGTTTCTCTATGATTTCTTATTGATCAAAGGCTTCAGAACTTGTTTAAATACATCTTGAATCACTTCTGAACGTTGGGGATGATTAGAAAAAATAATATAGCCGTTTTAGTGTGAAAACAATTAATAAAACAGTTTGGAGCGTGGGGAGAATCGGTACCCCCTATGGGGAATCGGTTCCCTAAGTGTAAAATTCAAATATTTCGACCGTTATACAAGGGGGGAATCGATACCCCCTATGGGGGAATCGGTTCCCTCCGAGCATACTGGAATTCTCGGAGCCAAACCATTCTGGGGGGGAATCGGTACCCCCTTGGGGGGGAATCGGTTCCCTCTGAGCAATCTGGAATTTTTGGCTTTAAAATGATTCGAAATACTTTGTAAAATTATTTTGAAATTGTTTTAAGATTAAAACTTAATTTTACACTTGAGTAAGGATTAAAAATGATCTTTAAAAGATATGGAGTAATGTTTTGATATTCGAATAGTTATATCAAATATACTTAGAAAATCATTTGGAAAATCTTAAAATTCATTTAACTTAATTTGTTATATCGAAATATCAAAATGTTTTCAACAATTTGCAAACACATTTTCCTTTGTGAGGTTTTTCATTTGTTTGCTAAATTTGTAGTTTCTCTTTAGGAGAGTGTGTAAGCAAGATTTTGGGGGTATAAACCTTGTGTGTCTTAGTAAGGTTACACCTTATCCTTAAAGGTTTGCAAATATAGTGGATTTGAGAAATCCCTAGTGTGAATAGATAAGGTAGTGGATGTAGATTTGGTTTAGAAGTCGAACCACTCTAAATTATTGTGCAAAGTTTTTATTTTTCGATTGCTTCCACCAAAGTTCTTAAAAGGCCAATTCACCCCCTCTTGACGTTATTCGATTGTTCGTAAGAGCTAACAATTGGTATCAGAGTTGGTCATAAATCAACGGTTTTACAACCTTGTAAAGATATTTAAAGCTCTCTATCAAATTCCTGAAGCAACTGAGAAGATGACTTTCACATCCGACCAATGCTACCTTGAGGATTTTCACTTTATCCATAGACTACCCTAATTCAATGGAGCAAATTATTCCTATTGGAAAAATAGGATGATATTGTTCATTCAATCCATTGACCTTGCGGTTTGGGATGCCATCATTGACGGTTCTTCCGTGCCTCAAAGAAATCAAAAGGAGTGGACAAGTGAAGATAGAAAGCTTGCCCAACTCAATTCCAAAGCCATGCACATCCTCTTTTGTGTTCTTGGCCCGGATGAGTATAGTAGAGAATCTTCATGCTCTAATGCTAAGGAGATTTCAGACAAATTGGAGGTTACCCACGAAGGAACAAGCCAAGTGAAGAAGTCAAAGATTAACATTTTTACTCTCAACTATAAGAACTTCAAGATGAAGTCCGATGAAGACATCAAGACAATGTCCGATTAGTTTACCATGATCATCAATGACTTGAAGAACTTTGGGAACATCTATCCCAATGAAGAGATGGTGAGAAAGATGTTTGCCTCTTTGCCTACATCATGAGAAGGCAAATTAAATGTCATCAAAGACAAGGATTTGGAGTTATACACCCTCGATGATATCATCGGTTCTATACTCACTCATGAGGTGAAACTCCAAAGAAGGAAGAAGAAGAAGAGAATAACAAGAAAAACAAGGAGGTGGGAATCACCTTCAAATCCACCAATGAGAGTAATCAAGACTCAAGTGAATAGGTGGATGCAGATGAAGAGATGGCCAAGCTCTTCAAGAAATTCAAACGATTCATGACATCCAAAGAAGACAAGAAGATAAATCGAGCAAGAAGAAATGTCCTCCTGTGTGCTATGATTGCCAAAGAACGTGACATATCAAATATGAATGTCCTCTTCTAAAGAAGAAGTGATCAAGCAAGAAGAAGGCTTTTGTGGCTACATGGAGTGATGAAGACGTCACAAATGATGAAAATTAAGAAGTATCCAACCTTTTCCTCATGGCCATCCAAGGATATTCAAATGTATCTTATAACTCAAATGAATTAAATTCATATTCTTTTGATAAGTTACAAGATGTTTATGATGAATTGATTTTGGAATTTGAGACCATGAATTCCAAATACAAGAGAATAATTTCTAAATTTGAAAATGAAAATGATTCTTTTTTGAAAATTAAATTGGATTTTGAAAGCAAAAATGAAATATTGAAAAAGGATTTGGAGCTTTCAAAATTGAAAAATGAACATTTTGAAAAAGAAAATTTTGATTTAAAAATTAAGCTTGATAGCTTAATAAAAGAGAGAAATTATTTCTCACAATTCATCAAAGTCAATAATGGTAAAATGTTCACATTGCCATTAGCATGGTCATAATTTCAATACTTGTCCTATAAAGAAAAGAAAATCTTATAAAATAAGGCAAGTATGGGTTCTTAAGGGAACTAGAGGCATCAAAACTAACAATCAAGGACCCAAAGCAATTTGGGAACCAAAAATCAAGTAAATGTCTCTTTTAGGTGTGTTGGACCAATGGTGAGCAATGTCAAGCTATTTGGAGGCTCTAAAACACACTAGGGAATGACACTTGAAGAAAGGAAGACAACCTTAATTCAAGTGGAAACAAGTTTTAGTTTCATACAATTTTGTGCTTTGTATGATTTAAAATGCTTATATGCATGATTGTAAGTCCTTACATAATGCTTAATTGCAATTAGTTAGGGGAGCTATTTTTGGATGAGTTGCAATTTTATGGCTTTATATGCTTATGATGATGATTTTGGCCTTAAATTTGCAATACTTGATTATTGTGGTGAAATCATGTTCTCCATGATTTGTATTGATCATATATGTTGATTTTAAGAATATGATGTTCCAATGTAGAAAAAATTAAGAATATGCATGCTTAGGATCTTTAGAGTCATTGTATGTTGTGTGATTTGATTTGGACTTTAGTTGTGTAAATTTTAAATTAAATTGATCGATAATAAAAATTTGCATAAATTGATGTTTCAAGTTGACATTCATGTACATTTATTATCTCCTAAGTCACCAACATTAATTTCCTATCAATAATATGACTTAGGTTGTAACACCCTAAATTATAGGCTAGTAGTTTTGGGTTACCCTAGGATAAGTGGACCCCGTATATTTCATGATTTAAGTTGAGGTTGGATTTGGGCCTAATTAGCCTTAAAAATGGGACTTTTAAATAAGGGACAAAAGACCAATGACTAAAAGTGTAATTTGACCATTAAGGAAAATGGAAGCTGATTTTTGGGGGGTTTTAATGGTGTTGGGTATGGGTTTCATTCTCCCAACCTTTTTTTCTTTTCTCATTTCTTCCTCTATTCCCATTCTCCATAGATTGACAAAAATTCAAGGTGAGTGTTTGAGATTCTTCCATGCTCCTCTAAGTTTCAAAATTTGTCCATAATCCTCCTCATTTCAAGTTTATGCTAAGAATCATTGTCTTCTTTTTCGTTTGAGGAAAAAGAGTGGGAAATAAACAAAGTTCAAAAAGGAAGGTGTTTGATAGCTAAAGGAGCTTCATTTTGAGTTTCTAAAATCAAGATAGTGTATTTCTAATCCTTTGGAGTATTAATCTTTGATAAATTACAAGTATTTACTAAGATTTGTGTAGTTAAGCATATTAGGGTTTAAATTTGATTTCAAGATTTAAAAACATTTTAGTTGTTATTAATGTGTTTTATGACATCTAGGGACCCTAGTTAACTCCAAAAAACTTCAGTGCATGATTTAGAATCAAACTATGGCCTTTAGGGTGATTTTTGAGTGATTCCTGGGCCTAAAATAATAATTTATGAGTTCGAGTATTGATACTGGGATGAACAATATTGATACTACATGAATTGGGGAAAAATTAGGGATTTTGGACTGGAGTATCGATATTGCCAAAGGGAGTATCATTACTGCCCATATAGTATTGATACTCAGGGTGACAATATCGATACTGGGGCCCCAATTTCGCAACAAATACATTTTTGGTACCAATACTCGTAGGGGTACCAATACTACAAGTAGAGTATCGACACTACTCACTTTGGATGGTTAGATTTGACCCGTTTAAGGTCTGTAAGAGCTAAGAATGATCCGTAATGGTAAGACCTAGTCCATGAAGGACACAAATGACCAAACATACCTAGAAACATTCATAAGACTGATTACATTAGGTGTAACAATATTAAGCGTAATATGCTGAATTATCTTCAATTGGGGACGTATACGAATAGTTATGATTGAGAATCCTTTAAGAGACATCCGACAAGCTGTACGATGATTATGTCAGATTCAGTTGTCGCAAAAAGTATAAGCTTCGAGAATATCAGTGAACCCAATAAAGGTAAGCCATCATTTTCAGTTCAAGAAGTTATGAAGGGAAGTTTGATAGGTTTGAATAGATTACTGCTACTCATAAATGAACCTGAGCCAGATATTGGGCTTGCCAGTCCCTCAGATAATAAGTAAGCCTTCGTATAACGTTCTAGGTAAGAAAATGGGTGAGTTAGCAGCTAGTATGACGTTGACTTCACTTTAGTGAGTCCAACTATGTTAAGGTATACCCATGTTACCTTAGTTGCCCTAATGGAACATTACTAGTGCGCGAGGAACTTCGGGGCTAACTAGGGAGTGAGACCCAAACAATCGTTTGGACGGGGTTAAAAATGTCAGTATTATGTGGCATATGGACCTTAGATCTACATGGTTAGTCATATCAGTTCAGTTGGGCATGGTTCCAATGCACGTAAATTTTGGTTTTTACCTCTAGGCTATTCCGTATTCAAGGTAGGCTAGGGCGTTGCTTCGAGATGCATGTAATTTCCTCCTACGATATTATCAGACCTATCCCGTGTCCATTTGTGTCAGTCATGCATGTATAGTCCCATCAATTATATATGTCAGATATGTTAAAGCTTGGCCTGAAGGCTATGTTAGACCAAGCCAATGCTTTAGTTTGTGTGAGAATTGTACTGATGCTATATGACACCAAGTTCCCCTATTTGATCTATCTGATGGCTGTGTGAGGACCAGGAGATCATTCAGTATGCTTGTGGGAATTACGTCGGTGCTGTGTGACACCGGGGCTTCCTCAGTAACTAGTTTCTGAGAGCTATGTGAGACCAGATACTAGTCAGTTATGCATTCAGATAATGCATAGTGTGTCAGGTATGTATTTAGATAATGCATAGGATTACCAATGTTTCATTTAAATAATGTTTAGCATGTTCAGTCATTAGGGTTAAAGACCCTTTAGAGGTGTACTCATGGCGAGGCCCTTATCAGAGGACTAAGGGAAATATGAGACCCATACTTCAGTGATAGAGCAATAAAACCTTAAGTAGGTAGCACTTGATTTAGGTCATGCATGTACCTACTGCTTAGTATCATGTCTTTAGTATGCTCGTGTTTATGAAACTCATATGCTGCTCTAGATTAGCGATTATACTACTGGTCTTTGTAAGCTCATCCTTCGGATGTTTTCCATTGACAGGTCAGTAGCTTGTGCAGTTCGTGGAGCACTGTCCCAGCAGGACTTCTAGTATCTCTAACAGAGTACTGTACTGTAGCTTTATTTGGCATGTGTATTCATAGAACCTTACTATGTATTTGAGTTGTAAACTTCAAGTTGTATTATTTTGTTTTAAATTATGTGTAACGGAGCTCCGATTTTCTAAAATGATTTTATATAAGTTGTTTATATTTTATTATTATACCGTTTAGTATGTTTGAAAAGGAAAATAATAGGTTTTGAAAATCAGGGGATGCCTCGGCAGCCTAGTGTAGCACTTAGAACTAATTGGGTTTAGGGTGTTTCATTTAATGGTATTAGAGAGTCAGGTTGAGTCAGTCATAGGACCTAATGGTCATTTTTAGTAAGGTGTCAGTGAATAAATGCCCCTAGGTACTTAAAGTACTTGTATAAGCTTGAAATTCTGATGGTTCTTCTTTCTTAATCCTGAGCGTTGTGTAGGGCTTCATCTGGATATTCATGAGCAGTTAGCGGTAGACCCGCCTAGAGTGTTTTCCGAGTTGACACAACATGCTAAGACTGTTGAAAGGGTGCAAGCTATGAGGAAGAGTTTGTTGGATGAATCAAGTAGCCTAAGTATGAGGACTCATATACTAGTAGATCGATCTCAGTCAACGGTAGAAAGGATTAGAGGTCCGCGATAGCAGATGAGAGTGACGTCAGTTTTGTCACTCTGACTGAGTCAGAGTTTAGATGTAGGGTCCCATAGGATACCTCCAATTTTATCGTCTTTGGCGAGTATAGAGTTTTGAGGTATCCAGATTGCAAGCATTGTGATAAAAATCATCGAAGAAGATGCTTCAAGCTTTTCAGGAAGTGTTATGCTTGTTGATCCTTGGCACATATGGTTATGGATTGTCCTAGTTCGATCGGTGTTGGTTCTATGCTCAAGCATGGGAGTATATG